TCACTGGTCTTCAAAATCAGTTACTACTGAGCTCTTTAAGGATGTTGGAATTCCTGTCACTCATGCACCTTAATTACCTGAGTGACTCCTGGACTCTCCTGGAGATGTAAGCAGAGGAGGCAGGTGGGAGCCGTTCATGGTCACTTATCCCAGGATTTCCATCCAAGCCTTTAAATACTTCTCTCTGCCTTATACCAGGGATGCTCGAGTACTGCACACATATTTGATACAGGTCACCAGTTAGACCTAAATTTATCCAACTACTAGACACTAAATTGGATCGCCTTTCAGCTAAGGAAGCTAATGTATTTATTTCAGAAAATCTGACAAGATCAGTTAAATATTCCATTCCTGTATGTCTTCTCTTGCAACCGGAGAATCCACACATATCTCTATGTCTCCACTTCTGTTTTGACTTCCTAATCCCTCAGAATAATGTCTCATATGAAAAATTAAGCTGCATCCATAATCCAGCCAGCCAGGAATTTGGCGAAATGTGATTTTTTTACATACATCAAAATCCTCTGACAGAGACAGCACATGGAAAGAAGAGGAGGGACAGAGAGTGAGCAGAAATATTGAGCACAGCCTAGGCTTCCAGAGCTCAGCCCTTCAGACAGGACACCCTCTCCGGAAATGGACATTCTGCCACTGGGAGAAATCTCACAGTTCAGTGAGTGGGTGTTGCATAAATACCTGTTCAACGAGCAGGAGTTTTGCACGCTATCTTATAAATAGCAAGCAAAGATAATTTCCTACATATCTTATAAATCACATGCCACTGTCTGCATGTGCCCTTCTTATGCCTTAAAGTAAATTTATCTAATTAGTCACATATTTATTAGCACAAGACATGTCTCAGGCTCTGAGTTAGGTATTTGAGAGTCAGTGTTTACAAGAGGTGTTTGAGCACCACCCTTATTGGGATTCTATTCTAGAGAAGTCTGATAAGCAAATACACGTACCAACGGATGACTGTGGTTTGTATTATTGTGTATGGAATACAGCACATGATTGAGAAGGACGCAGGGCTCATAATTTAGATTAGAAAAGGTAAGACCAATTTGAAATGTTTAGGGCATGAAGCCTGAAAACAACATAATTTTCTGTTCCCAAGTTAAACAATTATGAGACTTGGAATAATTTTCTTTCCCTATAAATGTAATTTCCTATTCCTGTGTTTAAAAACAACAGCACAAAAAAAAAAAAAAAAAAAAAAAAACTGAGGCCAGGCAAAACTAAACATAGCTGTGTTCACCACAAAATATTTCATACAGAAAGGTAAGAGTATGAAAGAAAAAATGAAGAGTAAAAACCACCTAAAACAGCTTAGATAGAGCTTGTTTGGCAGGATTTGATCTTGGGATGGTAGGAGCAATGGAAAGACAAAATCCAAATCAGAAGTAGCGCAGGTTTAGTTAATTAATCGATTTAATTAATTTGCTGTGATATTTGACTGTATGTTTACAGTGAAGATGGGAATAGCAACATCTTTTATACTTTGCACATCAGCCTGTGTTGAACGAAATATGCTCTCACTGGGAAATGGTTGGATGGCCCTAGTAGGGATTCCATGAAGAGTTTCATTCTTCAAGTTGATTTGTCCCTGAAGGTGTGAGTGGTATTTCCATTTTTTATTTTTCCCAGATTTCTAGCTTAAATAAGCTATGCTTATCATTGAGTTTTATCTGCCTGAATAATAACAATGGCTCTTTCTTTTATTTGAGGACTCTGAAATATGCAAAGACAGATTCCATGGCATAGAAGAAAAACAAAAGTGATAAATATTGTTCCTGAGTTCAACTTATTACAAAACAGCTGTACTTTTCTGCAAGTTTTAGCTGTGCAATTTAAAAATCACTTTAAGAATTACTTTAAACCACTTCAAAGCATTTTATCTCATTAAATTCTCCCACTGATTGATTTCCAGGCTCACATTCTCTCTGCTCCCATCAGCCTGATGTCTTCAAGCCAGGATTTCTTGGGGTTTATCTCACCAGATGCAATCAACTCGAGTTCCCTCTGTGGTGCCTTCTCATTTCCCTTATGCCAAGTCACACTAAAATACTTGAGAACAATATCCATAAAATGTTCTGATATGATTTTCTTGTTGTAAGTTACACACTGTGAATCTGTAAACACAAGACAGAGATTCACATGTGTTGACATTGTTTGTGACTAAAGGGAATGTGGACTCAGAACACACACATTACTTGGATGACATGGACATTATGCATTTTTGTACATTTGGATGCTAATTGAATTGGGTGCTTGCCTCCAATAAGAATGGTACTTGTTGGCCTCACTGTTAGAGATCTGGTTTTTCTGCGTGGAGTTTTGTTACACTTCAGGTCATTCCAACAGGTGATGATGATGCTCTGTACATATGCGCAGATGAGGGAGACAAGCTAAAGATACTGGCTTTGTCTATACAAAAATTGTGATAATGTAAAATACAGACAGGAATAATCCATTGCTATTTCTGACTTAGAGATACTGACTGAGAACTGTTTCCACAACACTAATTATGGGTACCAGGCATTGCATATACACATTTTGTGATAAGGGCTTTTTTAGCTTTATGCCAACCAACATCCTTCAGTCAGAGTCTTTAATGTGTGTGCCTGAAGGGAGGTGCCTTTCAGTGGTTCCACCTCGTCTACCAGGTCTCAGGGCAACAGACGAGATTCCTCCTCACAGCCTCTGCCTGGTCAGCCTCCTGTCCTGCCGCACCCACTTCGTTCTTCAGGATCACGGAACCGTTCACATGGTTCACTTTGCTCAGGATGTTCCATCTCCGAATGTTCTCGCCTTAGTCTCATCTCAGGTCAAGAAACTGCTCCGCCCCGAGATCTGACTCTTCTGCCACGTTGTGCAGACCTGGTCTAGTGTTTTCCAACGTCAGGGCTCCCCAGGTGGCCGGTGCTTCTCTTTTCTCTTTAGTCTTCAAGTTATTGAAAAACTGAGTCTATTTCTTTCTTCATTTCTGTATATTCAGTCACATAGTAGGAGCTCAGAAAGGTTTTTTTTTTTTTCCCATTCTATTGAACTGAAAAGATAGGTACCAAATCAAAGAAACGCCAGGCTATTCTCTCTGATTATGTCCTTCTGGTTGAGTACATTGAATTTACGTGGGCTTGGGGAGGGGTGTGAAGCACCCAAGGGTGACACACATCGAGCTCCGGGCTCACAGGCCACGCACACAGCGTCATTACGTGGAGCGCCTGTCACTGGCTGTGTTCTATTAAAAATATCCAAGAAACAATATGATGAGGCAGTACTAGAGGCAGGGAGAGAATACCGTGTCAAAGGGTCTGTAATCTGTAAAGTGAGTAAAACTCCATGAAAACCCAGGTCTATGTGACTCCAAATTTCCACCAAGACCTTTATGCTCTACAACAGGGGCATTGCCACTTTGGAAATACTTGCTTTATTCTCAATCCCCATGAGATATTTAGTATTAAAAATTAGGAAGAGACTGGGCGAGATGGCTCATGCCTGTAATCCCAGTACTTTGGGAGACCAAGACCAACTGATCACCTGAGGTCAGGAGTTCAAGACCAGTCTGTTCACCATGGTAAAACCCCATCTCTACTAAAAATATAAAAATTAGCTGGGCATTGTGATGGGTACCTGTAATCCCAGCTACTCGGGAGGCTGAGCCAGGAAAATTGCTTGAACCCAGGAGGCGGAGGTTTCAGTGAGCTCCAGCCTGGGCAACAGAGGGAGATGAGACTCCATTTAAAAAAGAAAAAACATTAAGAAGACTTTGGAGAAGTATCCATTCATATCTTTTGCCCACTTTTTGATGGGGTTGTTTTTTTCTTGTAAATTTGCTTAAGTTCCTGTAGATGGGTAGATTGTGAAAATTTTCTCCCATTCTGTAGGTTGCCTGTTCACTCTGATGCTAGTTTCTTGTGCTGTGTAGAAGCTCTTTAGTTTAATTAGATCCCACTTGTCAATTGTGGCTTTTGTCACAATTGCTTTTTGTATTTTAGTCTTAAAGTCTTTGCCCATGCCTGTGTCCTGAATGGTATTGCCTAGGTTTTCTTCTAGGATTTTTATGGTTTTTGGTTTTACATTTAAGTTTTTAATCCAACTTGAGGTAATTTTTGTATATATTTATGTGGAAAACAAACACATGAAAAAAAGCTCATCATCACCGATCATTAGAGAAATGCACATCAAAACCACATGGAGACACCATCTCACTCCAGTCAGAATGGCTATGATTAGAAAGTCAGGAAACAATAGATGCTGGCGAGGCTGTGGAGAAATAGGAATGCTTTTAAGCTGCTGGTGGGTGTGTAAATTAGTTCAACCATTGTGGAAGACAGTGTGGTGATTCTTCAAGGATCTAGAACCAGAAATACCATTTGACCCAGCAATCCCATTACTGGATATACACCCAAAGGATTATAAATCATTCTACTATAAAGACACATGCACATGTATGTTTATTGCAGCATTATCTGCAATAGCAAAGACTTGGAACCAACCCAAATGCCCATCAATAATAGACTGGATAAATAAATTGTGGCACATATACACCATGGAATACTACGCAGCCATAAAAAAGAATGAGATTATGTCCTTTGCAGGGACATGAATGAAGCTGGAAGCCATCATTCTTAGCAAACTAACACAAGAACAGAAAACCAAACACCGATTGTTCTCACTCATAAGTGGGAGTTGAACAGTGAGAACACACGAACACAGGGAGGGGAACAACACACATTAGGCCCTGTTGGGGTTGGGGGGCAAGGGGAGGGAGGGCATTAGGACAAATACCTAATGCACATGGGGCTTAAAACCTAGATGATGGGTTGGTAGGTGCAGCAAACCACCATGGCTCATGTACGCCTATGTAACAAAGCTGCACATTCTGCACATGTATCTCGGAACTTAAAGTAAAATAAAAGATACATAAATAAGTACAAAAATTAGGAATACCAAGAAAATGTGAAAATCGCTGTCCTGAATTTCTCCCTTGCTCACAGATTGTTTTTGCTACACCTGCAAAATATCTCACAGCTGTGAGCTGTGGCAAAAGATGAGTCCAAAGACATGCTCAGTGGGCTGGTGAGGACCCAGGAAGGGCTGTCCCACTGGGAGCTCCCAGCATCTGCATCCTCTCTTGATTTTGCCGTGACATCCATCGAGGTGTGCAAGGCTTCTAAAGGCGGAGTCTTGCTAAAGTGACTAAGGTAGTTGAATGCATTTCATTTATATATTGATTCCTCATCCAATGAAAAAGATAAATTTTAGTTATTACAAATATGATATAAAAGAAAAAATATGTGTTTTAAAAGGATGAAATGACAAAGTATAAAAGAAGCATAGAATGCAATGTATTCCTGCATTTCTAAGCAAGGATATTTATGACTGTAAATGTCATGAAAGATTTTTGTCAGACTATTTCTACCCTACTTATACTAATACTTCTGAAATAATGTCTGATAGAAAGAAATGTCTAGCAAAAGTAATTTCTTAACATGAATTTTAAAGCATACTTTGCACATTTGGATGCTAAGTGTTTTTGAACATTATATAAAGCCAAGAATAATTTAACATATTCTGGCTTACGTTTCCATGTTATATTCAATCTTACAGGATTACTCATTGCAAAAGAGTATAAAGAAGGATATATTTTATATTAAAATGTTTATCTTAAATCCTGGATCTGTCTGTTAAAAGTGAGCTAATCCATTTTTCTATTCCTTTTAACCAGTGGGAGACAGAGGAAGAGGGAAGGATTCAATAAACCCAGAATCTGAGAAGGACCGAGATGAATTCTGTGAGAATTTCTTGTTTGCTAGGCTCCTTTGGATTACTCTAATATGTTATCTCAATTAAACCACATTGCAACACCATTAAGTAAATACAATTGATAGTTCTTCTGATGGTGAAAACCATCAGATTCAAGAATGGTTATAAACCTTACTCAAATACTATATTAGCCTGGAGTCTGAAGCTCATAGTCTTAACCACTACTTTATATTAAAAACCAGGTTTGCCCTATGAATTTTATCTCAAGAAATGAAACATACCAGGTGCATCTTTAACTGAAAAATCCAGATGGAAATATTAAAATAAATGACCAGTAACAGCATTTATAATATATATTGGTTCCAGTATAGACATCTGTTTCCTCTACAGTTGATTTAGGTGGGAATGGTAGGAAAAGGCATGGTGCCTTTCTAACTTGTTCCCTTTTCTCCATTGCTTTTGAGCTCAGCTGCCACTGGTCCTAATGCGTTTGCAGTTCCCACAGGCAGAAAGCCTTGTATGATGTGGGTCTGGGCTGGGCGCGGTGGTTCACACCTATAATCACAGCACTGTGGGAGGCTGGGGTGGGAGGAGCATGAGGTCAGGAGTTGGAGACCAGCCTGGCCTACATGGTGAAACCCTGTCTCTACTAAAAATACAAAAATTAGTCGGGTATGGTGGCAGGAGCCTGTGGTCCCAGCTAAAGTCCCTCAGGAGGCTGAGGCAGGAGAATCACTTGAAACCAGGAGGCAGAGGTTGCAGTGAGCCGAGATAGTGCCACTGCACTGCAGCCTGGGCAGCAGCAAGAGGAAAACTCCATCTCAAAAAAAAAAAAAAATGTGGATCTGACTCTCTGCCCTGACCCAGTGTCCCCGCAAGTTGCCTTAGCCCTCCTCCTAATCCAGAATCACCCCAGCTCGCCTCAGGCAGCGGCTACCTCTCTCCTTCCCTCTCAAGCCATAGCATCTTCAGTGCTCACTGCCATTGACTCACCGTCCTTGATTGGAGTCATCAAAATCGATTCCCCTGGAGAGGCCATTATGGATGACATCATCTTCCACTTGGAGTCCTTGGTGCCCAGTGCAGTGGCTGGATCACAAGCTCTCATTAAAAATATGTATTTAACAGGGCAAAAAAAAAAAATACATATATATATATATATATCATCCTGAGATTTTTGGGAATCTGGAGAAACACGTTCTGTTTCTGAATTTTTCACAATTTTTATATGCATTTAAAAGAGCAAGTTCATTTAAATAAAATGAATTCTTTGTGTTTTATTTATTTATTTATTTTTTGAGACAGAGTCTCACTCTGTCACCCAGGCTGGAGTGCAGTGGCACGATCTTAACTTGCTGCCACCTCCACCTCCTAGGTTCAAGCAATTCTCCTGCCTCAGCCTCCCAAGTAGCTGGGACTACAGGAGCCTGTCACTACATCCAGCTAATTTTTGTATTTTTAGTAGAGATGGGGTTTCACCATGTTGGCCAGGCTGGTCTCGAACTCCTGACCTCAGGTGATCTGCCCACCTCGGCCTCCCAAAGTGCTGGGATTACACGTGTGAGTTACCACACCCACCCTGTATTTTAATTTTTATCAGACTAGTACATATCCAATATTAAGAACTTAACTAGTGGTGAAATTTATTTATCATTTTGAGAAATAAAACAGTTGTTTTTCTGTTACTTCTCACACTCCAGCTCACTAGACACTAGACACAATGGCTGTGAACTCCGTCACCAGAATCTTCCCGTGGTAACCTTCAGATTTATTAAACAGACTCTCACACTGTCCTTTAGAGATGTATCCATTTGGGGCATACGAACCGCTTTTTAATGACAGTGGCAGATCAGCTCTTCCTTGGGCCTGTTTTCTTCCTCATCCCCCACTACAATTATATCACCCTCTTAGTCAAATTACAAACTTTGTGTGGGGTCTAGTATGTTAAAATTGCATTTTCTTTTCTGCAGAGTTGTGGTTTTTTTGCATTAACTATGCTGTGTTATTTGCATATTTTTCTATATGTGTCTACATTGTATTCTGGGTATTCCACGATTTTAACCATCATATTTCCATTCTTCCAAATCGTCTTCTGAGAGGCAGCCTTCCTCCCGGGTTCCCCGCTTCCTGTCTGACGGCGAATGGTTCCTTTCAGGCCTGTGGCCCAGACAGCACCATGAGGTCCAACCCAATATTCCTGGAAACAATGTCTCTCTCTTTGTTGGGTGATATTTTTGTTTGGAAAGAGCACATCTTCCAGAATCCTGTAAGGACCTCTACCCTGTCCGGAAGTTTTCCTGGAAAACCCTATTCATTTCTGTATTCAAGGGTGTGAACAGTGAACAGATCAAGTTCTATAGCTCCGGGACAGTGAAGAGCCATCCTTGGGAAAGTGAATGCAGAGCTTACCAGACAGCACAACTGCTAACACCAATGAAGGTCATCGGCCCGGTTCCAGAGGTCCTCTCCCTGCAAACCCTCCCCCTGCTCCATCCCTGAGTGTCACACAGAAGACACCGCTCTGCAGGTGGATGCTGGGGGCTGCAGCCATTGTGGATGGGGCTGACCTCGGGGAAAGGGGACCCAGGTGTCAGAGGAAGGCCCATAGCGTAGCCCAGTGTGTGGCACTGTCTAAGGTGTAGAGCCTGAGTGTGATGCTGGACAAGGCACATCACCTTAGACAGTTTCTTCTCCATTGAAACCAATGGACCCACCTACCCGCAAAGAGCTGCAAGGATGGATGGACAGGAATACCCCTAAAGATCCCTGTGCCCGCTGCGGAAAACAGGCAGGAACCTTCATGCATTGTGAGTCACTCGAATGTAATTTCAATGAAGGAAAATGTTTTTCAGTAGCTACATTGCCAGGACTGAGAGCAAAGTCCAGATCGTATTTTTTGTTGTTGTTGAATGAATGGATTTTTCATTCTCCTTCTCTGCTTCTTTCCCCATAGATAATTACATTAGAAGATTCTAATGGTCATCTTTTCGTTTTTTCATTATTCTATGATGCAAGTTTTATTTATTTATTTATTTATTTATTTGAGGCGGAGTCTCACTCTGTTGCCCAAGCTGCAGTGCAGTGGTGCCATCTTGGCTCACTGCAATCTCTGCCTCCTGGGTTCAAGCCATTCTCCTGCCTCAGCCTCCCAAGTAGCTGGGACTACAGGCGCCCACCACCATGCCCGGCAAATTTTTGTATTTTTAATATAGACGGGGTTTTGCCACATTAGTCAGGCTGGTCTTGAACTCCTGACCTTGTGATATGCCTGCCTCAGCCTCCCAAAGTGCTGAGTTACAGGTGTGAGCCATCACGCCAGGCCGATGCAAGGTTTTTTTATGTTTTTGAGAAAATTATTTCAGGGTGTTGTTTCTCACATTCTTTAATGTTTTTCAGAAAAAATGCTCATTTGCTTTTTATTTATTTAAATATGAGCACCACGCAATTTTTACTAAGCTGAATAGCTAGGCTAACTACTATGATCTTTTTAATTAAAGAAAAGAAAAACAAGGTCACAGCCATCCCATTACTGGGTATATACCCAAAGGATTATAAATCATGCTGCTATGAAGACACATGCACATGTATGTTTATTGCAGCACTATTCACAATAGCAAAGATTTGGAATCAACCCAAATGTCCATCAGTGACAGACCGGATTAAGAAAATGTGGCACATATACACCATGGAATACTATGCAGCCATAAAAAAGGATGAGTTCGTGTCCTTTGTAGGGACATGGACACAGCTGGAAACCATCATTCTCAGCAAACTATCACAGGAACAGAAAACCAAACACCACATGTTCTCACTCATAGATGGGAATTGAACAATGAGATCACTTGGACACAGGAAGGGGAACATCACACACTGGGGCCTGTTGTGGGGAGGGGTGGGGGGAGGGATAGCATTAGGAGATATACCTAATGTAAATGACGAGTTAATGGATGCAGCACACACACACACCAACATGCCACATGTGTACATATGTAACAAACCTGCACGTTGTGCACATGTACCCTAGAACTTAAAGTATAATAATAATAATAATAATAAAGAAAAAGAAAAACAGGATCATAGATTATGCAAAAAAAGAGAAAAAATTCATAGAATATAAAAATCTGACCCTCCCAAAAACAAAGCAAAACAAAACATCACTGATCTAAACATATTTGAAAGTTACTTTAGAAGTTAAAATAATTTTTTAACTCTCTTCACTGAAGTATCTCTTCGGCTGAGTAGTTTTGTAGTTGTGGTATGAACATAAGACAGGTAATAAAGAGAAATTACTAAAAGAAGAAATTACATAAGCTTAGACTTGGCGAAAGTCATAATCTATTCTCATCACTTGTTTAATCCTTAAACATACGCAACTCGAAATTAGTCACTTGCTTTAAATTCTGTGGTCAGGAAAAATGATGTGTCACTCCAAGGTGCTGAAAATGAACTATGCATCTCTCTGATATTTAATCTATCAGGACTACCAACGATTAATATTTAATCTTCTATCCCCTATTAATAGTTATGAGGAATATTGCACATTTAAGGGAAAAAAGGAATCAAAGCTGTGCCTCCTGTTGCATACTGAGCACAGCTGTTCTGCAGAGACACGGAGTGCAGAAGCAGGTTGTCAAACTGCTACTTAGAAGTACAAAGTGTGTCAGTAACCTACTGAACTCTCCTAGAAAGAAGAAAAACTTTCAGGGTAAAATAACTTAATTGACTCCAGAGGGAATGGATTGCAAAAGGTCAACCAGCAACACAAACCCGTAGGGGTCCAGCAGAGACATCTTTCAAGAAAACTGGTTGGCTCTGAGGTTCTGCATCAAACCTTCTGTATCTGGCCACTAAATCGGTTTACAGCCCATCCATGACTGAAACGGATTAGGCTTTCCCACAGCGGAATCACATATGAAGTGTGCAGGCTGCGAGTCTAGCCAGAGCATGCTGATGATGGAAACTCTGGGCAAAACATTGCTCTCAGCCATGGGCAATCACTAAGACTAAGCAATGGTGCAGGCAAAGCTTCTAAAACTAATGTGTTTTCTATTGCAACTTGGAATATTTGGATATGCCACTTCCGTGCATATGCTATTATTTATTCTGTTTTGTTTAATGCCTGTGGCTGGAGGAGAAGGGATCTCACAGGAAAGTCATTGCACGATTCACTAATCCTTACTGTCCTCTGGGGATGGAAATGTAAGTTAGTAGAGCTACTGTGGAAAATAGGATGGAGGTTTCTGAAAAACTAAACATAGAAC